ATCCTGATCTAGAGGTTTTCACAGCTGTGTCGACCAGTCCCTCTCTGCCAGCCATACAGTGAAAGAAAAACTCCTGAACACAACAAGATTACACAAAGACAATGAAAGAAATGCATTATGAAGTGACAATAATCTGTATTAATGTCTAAAGTATTACAACATTTAGCTCTGAATTCAGTTAAATTAGATTTATTTGAGGGGAAAATGTTAATGTATTTAACATTATTTACATATAATAATGCTAATGCTTAGTATTTCACTAGTTCAGCTCGTGCCGCTTAGTGTTTGTGTGTAGTACATATTTATCCCCAGTGGCCATGTTAGAGCACCATGGGGCCCATGAACTACACCTTCACTGTGGCAGCCATTTTGGCCAGTGGCATCCACTGAGGAGGAAGCACTGAATTTGACAAGGCTGCAATTTCTAAATACTTATTTACAGCAGACTGTGGATTAGTCCTCATGCTCTGTCATTAGCATAGCTGCAGTTTAAAGGGACCCAATTATGTAGATTTTCAGCTCTATATTTTTATTCTGGGATTCAAAAAAATTTTGACTGCAGCCTCCAGCCACAACTTGGAAGAGGAAATAGTATGAGTGTATCAGTATAATATTACAAAATTAAGGGAAGAGTGTCACACACAGCTTTTCTGTTTTATTAAATCGCACACTTTTTGCAGTTATGTAATCGCACATGACGACATCGTGATTAATCGTGCAGGCCTAGTAATTATAGTCATAGAATGGGTAGTTATTAAGGACAAAGTTATTTCATGTGTGCAATTTGGCATCCCAGTCTTCATCAGGACTGTAAATACAACTTTGAAAACGAGTCCGCTACATATCACAAACACACACAGCCCTCTTCATGTACCTGCGGTTTGATGCCTGTGAGGAACCTTCCAGAAACGAAGCCCCCGGCACCAGGTGCGGGGTCATATGGCTGGAAGCACGGCAAGGATTTCCCAGAAGGCATTAGTGGAGGCCTACGGCCCTCCAACTCGATCTGACCTAATAGACACGAAATCTGAAATGCACACATACACTGACAGGTCAGGGTATCTGTGGGTTAAAGGCCTAAAGTTGATGGATGCAAAATTAGTACAGTACAATGTGAGAAAAAAAGTACAGGTGAGTGAGTGGGGGTACCTGCATGGTGTTAACAGTAGATCCCTTGGCTCCTGATTGGACCATCAGCTGGAGGTTGTTGTCAGGGAAGGAGGTGTGGAGGCCAATTGGCATGCACACCTACGAACACACAATATTTCCCCGTCAACATCATTGTTATTATTAAGAACTGCGCAACATGCACTCCTTTTTCTCCTCCTTCTCTACCTTACAACAAAAGTCTGCCAGACTCAAATAGGGGACTTGCGAGTGCATGGTCAGTGTCTTTAGGCCACCAGGACGCCCCAAAATACACTTTAAAAAAAAAAAAAAAAAGATGTATTTTGGACCCTGAGAACAGCTGCCAGCCGCAGGCCTGCTGTTCTGTAGCTGACTCAGTACAGGAGTAAACGGATGTGAAAGCAACTGACAATAACAGCCCTTTGCGGCTAAAACATTCAAAGTTCCTTTTGTGCATATCTGTTCCCATCAGCGAAGATTTGGTAAAATAGGGTCAATGACAAATTACATAACAACATTGTGGCATTTAAACAAAATTTGAAGAAACGAGGACACAACAACAACAGTGTGTTGTTCTTTGTAATTTCATTGGCATGACATTTTTAAACCCAGAACTAATCTACAGAAATTAAATTAAACACTGGTAAAGTTCCTAAAAATGTTCTTGGTTCCCTGACAAAGAGGATGTGGAGGAAACAATCTATGTGTTTCTAATTCATTTCACCATGCTGGTATTATGTGTGCCAAAACTAGTAAGTTCTAGTTCAGCTCCACTGAACTGAAGAAGGTTGAATCTTCAACCTAGTCCAGTTGCCCTTGATTTTAACAGTCCTTCACCTGAATTACTGAGAACCTTCACAGACAGCAGTAGTGGCAGGTTACCTTGTTAATGTCATTGTTCACTTGGTTGGCCACTTCTTTGAACTTGTGGTCGGCCATGCTGAACTCTCTCTGGTCTGGGTTGAGGTGAGCGTCCTGCCAGCGGCTCTGAGCCTCAGCTTGATCCACATTGGAGGGAAGGTTGAAGGCTGCCTGGAGGGCCTAAGAGACAAAATGGGGGGGGGGGGGTTTACTAGATAAGACCACCACTCCTTTCACCAAGAAGTATTTCATGTATTTCAGCATCTCAATCGATACCTTTTGATTAAATGATAACATGTGACAGTGATGAACCTACAGAAAGTTATCACCCGAGTCTGCAGCTCCCCTCGGCTTTACAGAGCTTTATAGAGTTTTAGCTCATTGTTTAGCTGTCTGGCCCACAACTTTGCTGCTTCGATTCACTCTCAGTGCTCTCAGTTTCATTTTTAGCCGCAGAAGGCTGCTGTTTTCAGCAAAAGTGGTCTAAAAAAAAAAAAAAAACACAACACAGCACACTGCCTGCTCAGCACTAGACCGCAGGTGCAGACAGACACAGTTAGTGACTAACTGGTGAACAGAGCGGAGCATTTAGCAGCTATGGAGCCAAATATTTTCCTTAGGCGAAATCTGTTATTGCAGGTATAAGGTTGCATGTAAAGCCACAATGTGTTGAATTACACAGAATTAGAAATAGTCCAACTCTGGCGCCCCCAAATGGCACGGCAGTATAAAGATGCAGTGGTAATGGATGCTGCCATCCCCATGACCTTGGAACAGAGAGATAAAGAACCAAATGCAACAAATGGACTGCATCAGTTAAACATTCAGTTTACAGAAGTGGTTGTAGCTCAAAGTTTGTTTGTGTGTAGTACATATTTATCCCCAGTGGCCATGTTAGAGCACCATGGGGCCCATGAACTACACTTTCACTGTGGCAGCCATTTTGGCCAGTGGCATCCACTGAGGAGGAAGCACTGAATTTGACAAGGCTGCAATTTTTCTAAATCCTTATTTACTGTGGATAAGTGGCATCCAGGGCCTTCAATGTAGCTCATGTTAGATTTTACATCATTAAAGAGGTGGTATTATGCTCATTTTCAGGTTCAAAATCTTATTTAGGGGTTGTACCAGAACAGGTTTACATGGTTTAATTTTCAAAAAACACCATATTTTTCTCATACTGCACATTGCTGCTGCTCCTCTTTTAACTCTGTGTGTTGTACGCTCCGCTCTTGAGCTACAGAGTGATGCATCTTACTTGTACAAAATCTTTGTTGGGAGTTGCACATGCGCAGTTCCCATGTTAAGGACTACTAGCCAATCAGAAGCAGAGAAGGGCGGGTCGTAAGAAACAAGGTAGTGTGATCCAAATCAAAGCCGCTTCAGACTGCGACCGTAACCTAGCAGATGGTAAAAGTTACTCACAAGTCCACAACATCATTGTTCCACATCTTACCATCAGGACTAAACGTTGAACTGTTGCCGGTGTTCTGACGATCTATGCTGCCTTGCCGAAAAATGCTACCATGGAGCAAATCAATAGACTCGACTCTACTCGGCCCTGCTCTGTTTTCCATTGCAGATAGTACCCAGAGACACACACACCAGCGATCCACACAGCTTTCTCTTTTTTAAGTTAAAACGTTTCAACATTCCTCAGAATGTAACGACAGATAAGCGGTATGAAAACCTTCCAGCTGTGTTTTCCTCTGCCGTTGTTGCTGCAGCGGTCTGTGTGACGGCGGGAGCAGAGGGCTCTGTGAGCGGGCGGCAGGCCGGCCTCACACACTCCTCCCGCGGGTTGGCGCAGGCTTCCCCCACAGCCACTTGTGGAGCTCCTCAACTCCGACAATATTCATATTAATATATTATTATATAATAATATTATTAATATATAAAACTTTCTGTTGCTGGCCTCTGTCTGGTGCAGCAATGATGATGTAGTGAATAGTGAATATTCTCTCTGACCAATCAGCAGTCTGTCGTGTTTTCACGTTACATTTAAGTATCTCTCAGCTTGCTTGGAACTTCGACAGAGGTGAGGTGATACGAAAAAAAGTACCTGGAAGCAGGTACAACATTTCTACAATGGAAAACCAAACAAAGGCGAGTCGAGCTGGTACTGTGCAGTGGAAAAGGGACTTAACTAAAATCAAAAGGGCCTCCGCTCAGACTAGCTTGGTTTGAGGGCGTGCCTGAACCCGCTAGCCGCTTGGAAAGCTTTATGAGGCGTTTTCATTTATCGTCACAAGTAAAGGAAGTGAAGGGCTGGACTACAAACGAGCTGTTTTCAGGCCAGAGCAGAGCTTTCTGTGGGAGATGGGAACTCCCTTTGGGCTGGAGTTTGGGCTTTTTCACTTTGCAAACCTGTTACATGCACAAAAAAGATATATAACTCAATAAAGGAGAGGGGTAAAGCCAGAAAGCATAATACCACCTCTTTAACGCTCTTGAACCTACGTTCTGGTGCTTTAACTCACTTTGGTGCCAATCTTCAGTGATTCTTCAATGATCTTCTTCCTCTGCCTGTTGGCGCCCGGTTTCACCAGGATATCTTCCACACCTAGGAAAAAAATAAATAAATAAAAAAATTATATATATATATATATATATATATATATATATATATATATATATATATATATATATATATATATAAAAGGCGTTTAAGCATAACCCCCCTTCTCTGACTGACTAATGATGCCGCCTGTGTCAGGAACAAATGGCTCAGCATGGCCATTTATTTACTGTACCTAGAGTAAAGCCTCTGTACAGCTGCAGGTAAGCAGTGAAGAGTCGAGCCAGACAGCTGAGCAGTTTGCCACTGGTCTCCCCTCCGTACAGCTCATAGCAGCAGTGGACCAGACCGTAGGCTGAGGAGCCGTAGTGAGCTTTGTCCAGAACCCCCACCAACAGCTCCCCCTGACGAATCACCACCTGGGATATAAACAGAAAGAGAAGAAAGAGGGATTAAGAAATACAATTAAAAAAACATTAAAAACACACAGTGAAATCTTTCTACCTTGTGTGTGTGTGTGTGTGTGTGTGTGTGTGTGTGTGTGTGTGTGTGTGTGTGTGTGTGTGTGTGTGTGTGTGTGTGTGTGTGTGTGTGTACCTGTGAGTCACACATGCTGTCAGGTTTGTATCCTGGAGCAGCCCGTGGTGGGACTTGGATCCACGCTTTGCTGGGGATTTTCGATTTGCCCACCAGGTTGAGAGGCACGGCCTTCTGTGGGATAACATTCAGCAGGAGTGTCGACACCACCTACAGGAAACGCCAAGGAACAACACAACAGTACAACTTCAATTTGAGTGCATTGTGGACAGCCATGTTTTCCTTGACAGAGACAAAAGCTGAACACAGTGAACTTCTAACTTCAACTTTTGGGCTAAACTGACTTATCATTGCTTTAATTGGTTCTTTCGGCTTTCCCTGAGTATCTACTGAAACACGGACTAAAATGTCACCGGTTCATTACCTGCTTTCCTGTCCACAGTTCCTGTGGCTTGAGTATGGCCGGCGGCAGCAGTTTAACTCTCCCCGGTTTGTCAGTCAGTCCTCTGTACACCAACTCTGTGTACTGGACTCTGTTGAAGAAACAGCCCCGTATCGTCATCCTCGTACCCGACACCATGTGGTCCTGGATCAGACCTGCTAAAGGTTTACCGTCCTAAGGATAGAGAGAGAAACTTGAGTTCTGACCTGTGTGCGTTTATAAGAATTCATCACTTTAATGACTCATCTTTGTTACTATGCATGTACTTTCTTTTAAAACAGCACATTTAGATAGTTTGAGTTTTATTCAATTCAAGACCTTTATTTGTCCCCGGGGGGGCGATTAGTTTTGCCGCAGTAGCAAAGAATTTGAAATATGTTTTTTTATGTTAATTAATGTGTCACGCATGTTTTTTGGCTAGTTAAGCTTACGCTCCTGATTTTAATTCCTCATTTTACTCAGCACGGTTATTCAGACAACTATGTGAAACACAACCGTGTGTGTGTGTGTGTGTGTGTGTGTGTGTGTGTGTGTGTCCACCTTGGGGACGAGGTACTGCTGGTCAGTGCTGACTAACGTGTAGGCCTCTGCTCTGCTCAGCTCACTTTGAGGGAAGTGCGCGTTCATTTCGTCTCCATCAAAGTCAGCATTGTACGCCTTGCAGTTGGCATAGTGGAGCCTCAGTACCTGTGATGTCAAGCGCAAGCAGTTTAATATCACGTGCTTATGTCGAAACACAACGGCGTAATCCCAGCCTGCTTCTATAATATATCACAATAAAACAAATTAGCCTGGAGCGATCAGATGGTACCTTCTCTCCTGGTAAGATCCGTGCGCAGTGGGCCTGTATGGAGGGTCTGTGCAGAGTCGGCTGTCTGTTCAGTAACAAAACGTCTCCGTTCTTGATGTGACGATTCACCTGGGTAGACAAAAAGGGAGAAGAGTGAGGGGCCGTGTCACGGACGATGAAAGTTTATCCTGCAAAGCGTATAAGGGTTTGTTTTTGGGAATGACCGGGCATAACATCTGACTTACGATCTTCATGGGCATCTTCTGTGGACCAGGACTGGGTGTAAGCAGTTGCTTGGCAACAGCTTCTCTCTGGGCGAGGTTGGTAGGTGATAGGATGGTTCTCCTGCCGTCTTCGTTTATCACCATGGAGGCACCGGGGTGGACGTTGGGTCCATTGAGAACGGCCTGACGAAGCTCCTTGACGTTCCATGGAGTCACGGGCTGGGGGTAGGTCAGCTTGGTGGCAAACACCTGCACAAGCATGGAAGATTCTGGATCAAACTTGGAGCTCTGGTGATCATTACTGATGTTATTTCCCGTTTTTTAAAGGGGGAGAAACACAGTCATACGAACCATAGGTATTCCTATCTCGTTGGTCCCTATGTACATGTCTGGACAGATGACAGATCGTGCAGCGTAGTCCACTCGTTTTCCCATCATGTGTTTCCGGAACAATCCGTCCTTCTTCTCCAAGATCTGGCAGGGGAGGGGGGACAATTAGGCAACTGGGATGTCTTTGACAAAATGAAAATAAGGGATGGTTATTGCATTGCACCTGTCTGATTCCTGGGTATTTCTCTGTCATCATTTTGTCCATGTCACTGTCAAAGACGATGTTAACGTGGGTCTGTAGTCGCACCCAGATGTTGTAGAGTTTATCTGTTAATGTCTGTCCGGGGATCCCCGACAGAAACGACTGGTCCGCCTGTTCAGGAGCCTGAGGAGGACAAGAGAGGACAGACTGACGTGTGTTGTTCACAATCACCATTTGCCGCAAATATCACACAGCACTCAACACACACACGTCATCTTACCTCTTCCTCCTGAGCAGTTTTCTCCCCTGCTATGAGAGCCAGAAGTTTCCTTATGATTACACAGTCCTTCATGACAGCCTGCATGTTGACTGTCTGGCCGTTTGTAAACATCTGGTCACCCAGTCGATTGATGGGACGATACCTGACAGGGAGGAGGAAGGGTGTGACAAGGCAATAAGGTTGCACCACCTCTGCTAACATCAGTACATTTGGTATTAAGGTTTTGCTATTGCTGAGGAGGCCACAACTGATATTTGAGTAATATTAAACTTCCAGTGGTTCAAAGAACAGTATGTGAGGGTGTCTGTTCACACAGTACCTGCAAGGTGGGACCACCAGTAGCTCCAGGAAGAAGAGGTCTGGATAGAAAGCCTTCTCTCCTTCCTTTGTGGCCGTCCCCTCCTCCAGCCCAGAGAACAGACACTTCAAGAAGAAACCTGGGTGAAAAGAAGGGCGATATGAAATATGATGTGGAATAATATTTAAAAGGTTATTCCTTCTTACAGCTAAATGTGAATGAGTTTTTTTCTTTTATTTACTACACTGCCAATTTTGCATTCTCAAAAAATATTAATTTCTACTTTCTAGAAAAAGATACAGTGATTAACATCATTACTACTGCACTTTTAATAATTTAAAGTGGTGGTTGACCCATATGGGTTTTTCCACTGATGCCGAAATTTAGAGAGCAGGGCGGCCCATGATATATAATGTGAAACTCAAAACAAAGAAGTGTCCTGCATAATTCCATGCAGATTAATGTACATGGTTATTTTGGCCATCATGTGTTGGTTTAGATGGATAAACACTAGCCAGTAATGGTTTTATATTAATTGTCATTTAGGATGGGAGAAACGTGTTACCATTTAGAAAAGACGACAGTGACTGACGGAATTTAGGACTCTTTCACCACAAAAACCCACATGGGGAAGAGCTACCATCGTTTCATAGCAGCCACACTGACAAGACTGCCTGCATGTGTTTGACATTTTTTGTTTGTGGTTGCCCTTCAACAGTCCAGTTTTATGCATATGGTGGTGGGATATCACTGTTTTTTGGCCTACCTTCTTTCTCCCACAGTTTGTTGGTGTGTTCTCTAGCAGTACTGGCCGTCATGTAGACTCTCTTTCCAGCCATCAGATTCTCTGCACGAAGACAAAAACAAAGTCCAGATAAGATCTATTTACTGTGTGTACATAATGTAAAAGCAGGGTTTGCCCAGAATGTGCAACGGGCGCCATGTTGGTGCAGAGTAAAAGGTAACACAGACAACAAAAAAATCCCTCAGATGTTAACAGTGATTTTATTTTCAGTCTTGTCCAGCCTGCATACAGCTGTTGGCACAATAATGACCTGCATATGTACAAAAGATTATCTAATTTAACTTTAAAATATTACTTACCATCAGTATCACCACTGGTCTTTACTCCTGATGGCATTGTGACAATCAGCTTACTGTTGTGTTCACGGCGCACCGTAGACCTTCCACTCCTACACACACAAACCATAATCACAGCGTTAAATGGACAATTAGGAATTTGACTAATGACTGAGCAAAGAGGCACTGCATCAGTATGCCACCTACATCTTTAAGCCTGTGGTGGGATTTTTCAGTAAATAACAATTTGCATTAGTACGGTTTAATTCATTATAATCATAACACAGAGTGGACAAGGCCGAACAAATGAATGGTTTTACTTATGGTGGCCAATAGGAGATGAGTCCCTGGTTTGTACACTACCAACATATTTAAAACACATTCACCACATACAGTACTGTATATACAGTTTATACTTCTGTAAGTATGGCTGGCTCCACACGAGTAATAATAACAAGGTAATAGATGGTTAAACTTATGAAGGATTTTAGAGCACTATTAAATGAATGAATGAAAGTTACCCGCAGTAAGGACACTTCCTAGTTTTCATGTGGGTCTTCCAGAAGTCATTTATCAGACTGCTCTTTTTTTCAACAAGATGTTTAATCTGAAAAAACACACACACACACACACTTAAAGAATTAAGGCAATGTGCCTCCACACCCTAACGGACAAATTGAATGCATATCCATATTTTAAAATCATATTAAACTGTCCTAAGGTGATTTTAGGTATGTGTATGTTTGGATTTGAGTGTCGTGTGTCTGCATGTCTTTGCACACTCACCGGTTTGGTGTTCTTTGACCCTTCAGTGCTGGCTCCGAGTATCGTGTCTGTAAACGTCTTAAGCACCTGCTGAATCTCATCTCCAGTGGCTTTGGGATTCTCCTCCAGGTGCTAACACACACACACAGTTCACACAAATGACCAAATGCTGTATAAACAGAGAACTGGTTGGTCTATGGTGATTACAAAACACCATGAAGCTACATTAATTAGAAAAGCAAGCTTAAATCGGGTGAAAGACAACAACTTAGACATTGACAATGAAAAAACCTCTCCAAACACATTCACTCACACACAAATAATAACATCACAAGGATATCAACGGATAAATAATTTATTTTTGGATAGAGCCTGCTTTAGTCCTGCCACGATTCGTTTCCACAGCATGTTTAAACGCACCTGGTTGATAATTTGTTCGACTTGGTAGACCTCCTGCATGGCTCCATGCTCCACTAACTTCAGCTGGTTCAGCAGCAGGTGGATGGCAGCTCGAGGACACGTTAACATCTGACACGCCAGACAGGAACCACGAATCAACAGGTAGAGTTTCTGACGAAGGCGAGTGGGAAGGATACAGGAGAGAAAAGGATTAAAAGAAAAATATTCATAACAGCAAGTTGACTGGATACTGATTCATATAACGTGAGCTTTAAACGTGTGTACTGCATTAACACGTGTGCGTGTGTGTATTTGCGGACATGCTTACATCAAAGAACAGTGGGTTGTATACAGGTAAAGGTAGGTCTACATGTCCCAGGTGTCCTGGACAGTTGTTGAAGTCCTGACAGCAGGTCGAACACACCTGGTCAAAACAATAAAGCAACACAGGAAAAAGGTCATTTTATATACTTGCTGAAACGTGCAGAGGTACAACCACAGGCCAGGAGCAGACTGTTGTTACATGAGTGCCATTATAGTACTGTACAATAAAAAGACTGCATGGATTTTGATTTCAGTAGAGATGTACCTCTTTGCTGTCTGCTGGTCCCAGGGCCAGATCGTACAGGCTGTTCGGGGCCACATTCCCAACAGCATCGAGGAACCTGAAGTTAGTGATCGCCTTCACGCTCAACTTTCTGGACAGTGAAAATGAGAAGAGTGCATTAATACAATTACACTGGATTCTTCGCAACTCTTTGGTCATTTTACTACTACATTGATTAACTGGTAGCTTTATCATATGGTGTAATCTTGATAGGTCCATACGGGATCAAGCCAGGGTTCAACCTGATCCTCAAGGACAAGCGAGCCACAGTTGAATCAGTTAAAATGACTTCTATTCCTATATAAAAGACATTTCCCATATTAGTATCATGAGAATAAACAACACAAGGACTGGGTATGGACTTGAAAAAGAGGGTAACTTAACAGTTAACGTTATTTTCATTACTTGATTGACATTCACAGTGGCTGCCAGAGGATCAGGTTTGTTGCACAACAAAATAAATATATAATATCTATCATGCACGTGAAACAGCAACTTTTACTTAAATATGTGCGTAATTTGCGAGAAGAGTACCGGAAATAATGTTACAGGATGCTGCCACGATCAGGCATGTTGTTTTGAACTCATGTTTAGCTTAAGCCAAAAGCTAACACGCTGTCTCTCACCTTATCTCCTCGGCAGAATACATGCCAAACGACATGCCCTCCAAGCGCCGCCATGGCACTTCTTTTGCAAACAACATTTTGGAGAATTATCCAGACTTTGAGCTGTTTACTCATGTAAATTCATGGCGCACAGTTAAAGCACATGCGACGCAAAGTTGCTCCTGTTTCACACGTGGGACCGTCAGACTAAACTTCCTGTTAGAGGGGAGACACAAATACAGGTGACTAGGCTTTCCTGCATAATCAGCGGGTGTTCTACCTTTTAAATAACTAGTTCAATATTCAAATTGGAGCTGGCTCGATATTAAGCGTGGACGAAGTGTTGTATTTCTGGAAAATACAAATTGTTATTATTTTTCTCTCCCCCTTTTCTGAGCTCACATGGTTTCTCCCTCCCAGAAGCCTTCAGTCTGTAACAACATGGCGGCGCCCGGTTGGCACGTAGGGCATTACATCCAGAGAAACAGCCGGTTTTTGCTTAATAACTTCGAGCAGTTATGGAGTCACAGGTGAGGCACGTTTTATAGCTGTGTTTTAAACTAGAAAATTTGCCAGTCGGCTTTATTGTCATTTAATTTTGGTTGCTACACGAGTGTGAGACCTGCAGCTAGCATCATTTGACAGGAGGTCGTGTCTTCATGAAGGCAAATTGCGTCGCTGTAGTAAGTTCTGGCAAACTGTTAGATATTTAAACAGATGTGTGTAAGTGCCAGGCATGTAAACGACATTTTGCCTCAAGGCTTTCATACGGTTTATCTTGCCCCGTTGAAAAAACACAACTACAACAGGACTAATGCTGCCTGTCAGTCACCCTCTGTATATCCTCCTTTAACCTCTGTCACTGTTCAATAATGTTTGTCATGATGTTGTCTTGGCCACGTCCTCCATCAGCAGGTTTAATAGATGCGGTATGTGCAACACGGGGAGATACGAATAACACAGCCTACCAGAGGACTGAACTGTGTTTTGCTAAATGTAACGTTACACCTTCTTTTTAGTTGATCAGATTTCTGTTTTTCCCAGGGGTTTTGGTTGGACTGCAGCCCTGCGACAACAAGTTGCAGAAGCTAATAAAGGTAATTTGGAATAAGACTTAAACACTCTTGTCAGTGCAGACAGTATAAGTGTATCTATCTTCTTTATGCTTTTTTTTTCTTTGAAGACAACTTTATTTGTATAGCATAATTCAGACATCAGGGCAATTTGATGTGCTTTACAGGGTACAAAAACACCCTAAAGAGAAGGAAGTATCTCATAATACTGGCTGGTGAAAGCAGCCAATATGTTATTTTGTTTTATTAACATCTGCATACCCTACTTTTAATATACAGAGCCTGTAACAAGCACATCTGATTTTCTTTCTCATTAATATGACTTTAATCTCAGAGAAAACATTTTTTAAAAAAAAACTTTAATTCTGTGTTTAAACTCAGATTATCACCCCTTTCCCCAGGCTCTGTAATTTTTTTAAATAGCTGGAATTTAAATCTGCTTCCCACTCAGTTTTCCAAGGCATAAGACTGACATTTTGTAATAAGCTTCTGTAGAAGGCTGCATGATAAGGACTTGTGTGTGTGTACCAAGTCTGTACATCTGCCCCTCAGCCCTTGTAGAGCCAGCGGGGAGTATGGCAAATGTTAGCAGCCCAGTAATAACGCTTCTCGTGTTCTTTTAATAAGACATCTTTAGCGGGAAGCAATGGTCTGGGGATGAAAGCCAGGAACAGGGTTTGAAAGTTGGAAAGTATTGAGAAATGGTCAAACTTCTTGTTGGTTTCTATCTTCATGTGGGGTTGTTTAAAAAAAAACAGACTGATCTTTTAAATATTTCGATTTATTGGAGCATTTAAATTTTTAAAATATTCTCCCTGTTCCATTGGAGGCGACGTGTTATTTAAAAGTGATTGAAATATGTGAGAGACATTAAAATCATTCCCTTTCCTCTCTGTCTTTGCAGAATCGACAGAGACTATTGTCATCCCCAGGAAGAAAACATGGTATGTCTCCAAATCACAGTTGTATCAAGTCTCGAAGATTCCTACAGTGCAGGCCACGCTGCATACCTTATTGTGCAGCTCAGAGAAACCTCATTTACATAAAGCTTGTTTAAATCGACTACCCAGTTTTAAATCATGTCATCCGAGTATTGAAGCATCAACAAGACAGTGAACTAATGTCACTTCTTATGAACAGGAGCAAAGAGGCCGTGCTGGAGGCTCTGGCTTCAACTGTCAGCAGGGTGAGCGCTCCTCCACGTCTTTCTGATGCTAGTGTGGATCTTTCAGTATGTGCGTTTGCTTGTTTATCTGTCTGTCTGTGTGAACCCCCTTTTTTATTTATTTTATTTTCTTCTCTCCTCCAGGATCCTACAGCATATCCCTACCAGTTCCAGGATGATCCTTACCTCTCTCCCAGGACCTCTGCTGAGTTTGTGCGTCTAAAACATGCTAACCTTTACACTGACATAAAGTTACTCAGCTAGCTCATTTTTCACTATTCACTTTTCTACTGTCATCTCTCCTTTTATAATGCAGTTGTCACTTTATAATGATAGTTTGAAAGGTTACATACATCTCAAATTTATTTTTAAGTAGCCAAGTTAGTTTTGGTGAATACTATTTTACGTTTATAAGATTGTTTTTCACACCCACTATGTATTTATGAAAGCACCCACATTGAGAGGATATTAAGATGTAGTTATGTAAACATAAAGCAGCACTGATGTGAACTATAGGCTGACATTTTTACTGGTATCCTGTGGGATTCTCACGTGATGCTAGTCAATATCACTGGGACGACACAGGGGGGTACAGGAATCATAGATCATTTTTTCAGTTTTAATATGAATAAATGGAATTTTCTGATAATTAAAAAAAAATCTAACGATATGGGACAGAACAGGATTAATTTTTTGTACTCTGTTCTGAGTGTTAGGACGGGACGGAGCATTTTTGTGGGACTGGGTTTGGACAGGAGTGAATAATGTAGACATAATGAAAGAGTTCTGTTTGTATCCATGATCAAAGTAAACTCTAGTAGTGCACTCTCTACTGTGGGATCTATGGGTGATACATTTTCTAGCTGATGTGTCGTTGTTCCCTCTCTCTGCAGAAGCTGTACTCTCTCTCTCAGGAGTCTGGCATGTCTGCAGCCAAATACTTTGTCAACAGCAATCCCAAGTTCTTCACCAAAGACTTTGCAGAACCACATATACCAGTAAGAAACACACACACATACTGTTGTGGGAATACGCAGAGCCAACTGGAGACTATATTATCACAGGTGCAGGAGGGGTAGAAATGAA